TCCTCTGTTAAAGGAGGAGGCCTGGTTGGGGAAGGAGCTGGGTGGGTCACGCTCTACCACGGTGTGGACGCTTCCTCCTTTGAATGGGCACAGTGCTGTGGGAGATGGGTGAGCTAGGCAGAGCCTGATCCAGAAGGCAGAGAGCCAGAGGGAGGCCAGGACCTCAGTCAAAGAGGAGAGCTGCATCTTCTCTCTGCCCCCACAGAACCTGTTCTGCTGCTATCTTTAGTTCCTCCCCTGGGCCAGCCAAGGGCCTCAGTGGGCAGAGACAGGTGGGCAGACACGTGATGGGAGGGAGAAGCTTCCAAGCCCTGGGGAACTGACATCTGCAGAAGCTGGCAAAGGCCGGGCAGACTCCTCCAGTGCGGGCAAATGCAGGTTTGCCCTCGTCACCTGCTCAGGTGGAGTGAGACCCTTCCCCATCGGGTGACGGGCACTGCCTCCTGGTTTGATCAATGCCAGTTCATACTGCCCCCCTTACTCAGGCCATCCAATGTCATCTTATGGCCACACACTACCCCAGTACTTAATTGGGTTGGTTAGCTGTAAAATTTAGGAATAGTGCAGGAATAGTCTTCTGGTCCCAAACTTCATTATATGGGTGGAATATGAGGTCTAGGGAGGAGCAGGGCCTTGCCCAGGGCCCTGCAGCTTTTTAATACGCTCATTACCTTCTCTCATGGAGCACTGTTGTAAAAAGTTACCTACTTTAAAAATTATTGTATATACACTCATACATCATATATAGATGTGTGTGTGTGTGTATATATATATATACATATATATATGCATTTTATAATATTTTGGTTAATTTGTTAATATTTCACAAAATTCAAAAGGCACAAAAAAGGCCCTGGCCAGTGTTACTCAGTGGTTAGAGCACCCGCCTGAGCACTGAAGGGTTGTGGATTCCACTCCTGGTCAAGGGCACATACCTGGGTTGCAGGTTTGCTCCCTGCGGGAGGCAACCAGTTGATGTGTCTCTCCCACATTAACGTTTCTCTCTCCCTCTCCCCAAACCCCTTCTACTCTCTCTGAAAAGCAATGGAAAAAATATCCTCAGGTGAAGATTAACAAACAAACAAAAAAATAGATCAATAAAAACCTGTTTTAAAGGCACAAAAAGTAAGCCTCCCTCCCACTGCTATTCTTGATCTCCCAGCATTCCACCCGAGGGTACTGCTGTTGACTTTTCTTATTTATCCTTCCAGAGACGTTCTTCACATACCAAACCTTTACATTTTTTTAAATCACAAACTTTATATGCTGTACTCACTGTTCTGTACTTTGCTTTTGCACATAACAAATCTTAGCTCAGATCACCTAATTTTAATACCTATTTCTGATAGTGCATACTATTTTTTTAGCGCATATTATTTACAGTAATTGTATGGCTGAAGCATAATTTATTTAACCAGCTTCCTATTTAGGTTCTAAACTTTAACTATGAAAACAATGGCTAAATGAACTTTCTGGTACATATTACATGTCTTGGGGTACCTGTATACCTACAAGGTCAGTTTCTGAAAGTGGAATTACTAGGACAAAGAGTTTGTACATTTGATTTTTAAAAAAAATATATTTTATTGATTTTTTACAAAGAGGAAGGGAGAGGGATAGAGAGCTAGAAACATCAATCAGCTGCCTCCTGCACACCCCCCACTGGGAATGTGCCCGTAACCAAGGCACATGCCCTTGACTGGAATCGAACCCAGGACCCTTCAGTCTGCAGGCCGACGCTCTATCTACTGAGCCAAACCAGTCAGGGCTTGATTTTTTTTATAGATATTACCAATTTGTCCTCCAAAGGAGTTTGCCAATTAACTTTCCCACCAGTAATGTGTGCTGGTGCCTGTTTTCAGACACCTTTAACTGTGTGAACTCAATTTTGTTGGGGTTTTTGTTTGGCCAACCTGATAGGTGAAAAACGGTATCTCCTAGTTTTAATTTACCTTTCTTATATTATAAATGAGGCTGAGCATCAAAGATAGAAACCCAGAGGACAGTTTGTAACTGGAGTGGGGTCTTGCGCCTATCCCAGGCTGAGCCAATGTGTCCCCCTACCCATCACCCCGGTAGATGACAGGAGGCCAGGCAGCCTGGGCCCTCAGCCCTCCCAAGAGCTGTTTCCCTGCCCCTTTACCTGAGATGAGTAACAGTTTCTCTGGTGTTACTGGAAGAGGCATGTTTTATTCAGGCTCTCTGGTTTGTCCTGCTCTTCTGTCCCTAAGGGCTGGGACTTGGCCTCTGATACAAAACAGACTAATGTACAACAGGGGAATGGCAAGACGAGACCTGCTTATACTGGGAATAGGCTGGGCTAGGTGGGGAGTAAGGAGGCTGCAGCAGTTCAGGTGGGCGCTGAGGAGTCTGAGCCAAGCAGTGGCATGTGGGCCCTGAGATTCATCAGAGGTGGCCATGCAGGACGGACTGGGTGAGGAGGAGGAAGGAGAGTGGCAGACAGGTGATAGGGAGCATTAGGGTGGAAGATGAGTGAACTGGAGGTTACCTGTGGGATAGGTAAAGGAGGAAACGTTTGTTGTTTGTTGGATTAATGTGTTCCCAGTGGCAATAGGAATGGAGTGGTCCTGTGTCCAGTTGGGAGATAGTTAATTCGCCCAGTCTGGCCACAGCAGGTTAAACCACCTCTGGGGTGTGTCCTGCGCCTGGCTTTCTGCAATGACACAACCTGGTTCCCTGGGATATAATTAACACAGAGCTAACTTTACTCCTGATTTACCACCTCCAGTTCCTTCCATGAAGCCTCCTCCTGTCCCTGTGACTCAGGGAAGGGTGGGTTGGGGAGTGGGCTGTTGGCCAGGTAGCCAGGCCAGTGGAGCTGGAGGAGGAGCAGGTAAACTGGGGGTGGGGGTGGGGTGGGGACACCAGGCCCACTGAGCCCAGCCCCCATGAGAGTTTCTAGAGTGTGGCTGGCCTGAGAGCAGAAGGTGGTCAAACAGGCATGGGAGCCTTCTCCTGCTTTGACCCACGCTTCTTCCTTCTTCCGGTGGCTCTCACCCTGTCTCTCCGAGTTCCCAGTCCCAAATGAAGGCTTCTCTCAGGTGGCAAGAAACCCCAACCTGATCCGTGCAAAATGGTATCTCCTAGTTTTAATTTACTTTTCTTATATTATAAATGAAGCCGAGCGTCAAAGATAGAAACCCAGAGGACAGCGCCTTAGCCTCTGTGAGGGTTGCCAGAGACATTTCAATTGCAGATTGTAATTTTTTTTTAGTATGAGTATATCCCAAGAATTGCATGGAACTTACATACTTAAAATTTTTAAAAAAAGTAGTTGCATATCTGAAATTCAAATTTAACAGGTATCCTTATTTTATTTTATTTTAAAATATATTTTATTGATTTTTTACAGAGAGGAAAGGAGAGAGATAGAGAGTTAGAAACATCGATGAGAGAGAAACCTCGATCAGCTGCCTCCTGCACACCTCCTACTGGGGATGTGCCCGCAACCAAGGTACATGCCCTTGACCGGAATCGGACCGGGACCTTTCAGTCCCCAGGCCAATGCTCTATCCACTGAGCCAAACTGGTTAGGGCTAGGGTATCCTTATTTTAACCTCCCACAGCGTTGGAAACAGCTGCCCCCACCCCCACCTCACCCCTACCCCCTGCCTGACCACTCACAGGCCCTGAACTTTTATTGTATTTATTTAAAATGGATTTGAAATATATTTAAAAAAAAAAAAAAAGCCCTAACCGGTTTGGCTCAGTGGATAGAGCATTGGCCTGTGGACTCAAGGGTCCCCGGTTCGATTCTGGGCAAGGGCATGTACCTTGGTTTCGGGCACATCCCCAGTCGGGGGTGTGCAGGAGGCAGCTGATGGATGTTTCTAACTCTCTATCTCTCTCCCTTCCTCTCTGTAAAAAATCAATAAAATATATTTTTAAAATAAAATAAAATGAGTTTGAGAGCCCTAGCTGGTTTTGCTCAGTGGATAGAGCATCAACCTGTGGACTGAAGGGTCCCAGGTTCCATTAGGGTCAAGGGCACATGCCCTGGTTGGGGGCTCCATCCTCCGTGGGGGGCATGCAGGAGGCAGCCGATCAGTGATTCTCTTCATTGATGTTTCTTTCTTTCTCTCCCCCTCCCTTCCTCTCTGAAGTCAATAAACATATATTTAAAAATAAAATTGATTTGAGAGAGAGAGAGGAAGGGAGAAGAAGAGAAACATCAATGAGATCTGGCCTCCTGCATGCGGCTCACACCTGCCCCTCATAGGGGATCGAGCCCCAAGGGCCTGATCAGAGCCTAACCAGCGACCTCTGGGCGCTTGGGGCGACGCTCAACCAACTGAGCCACACTGGCCAGGGGTAGGCCATGGCCTCTAGGGCGCAGACACAACTGCCATTCTTAAGGGAGCTCCACAGGCTTTATCTGCATTTTCTGGGCATGACAACACTCTGAGGAGGGTCTTCAGTCCCCTTTCACGGGTGAGAAAACCGAGGCTCCGATTAGTGATGAGCCGAAGGTAAAACTCGAGGGTCCAGGAAGGACTCCAGCCATTGCCCGTCGGGCTCCAAAGTTCAAGCTCTTTGCACGCCGCGCGCAGCTGGCAAATCGCCCTCTCTCCTCTCTCGGAGCGGAAAGCCTCCGCGTGGGGTTTCCAACCAGCCGGCCACCCAGGAGGAAACGGACGACGCGGCAGCGGCGGGGGGGGGGGGGGGGGGGGGGGGGGGGGGGGGCAGGGGCACCCAGCGCGGAACGGACGGGAGTGGGTGCTAGAATCCTTAGTGATTTTGAACCCCAGCTCCTGTGAGTAATAACAGTACCACCCCGGGCATTTGCATAGCTCTCTACAGTTGACAAAAGGTGCCCTTAGCAGTCAATTAGAATAACTAAGAAAGAGGGAGACGGCCTAGAGGACTTCTCCCCATAAAAGATGGTGGCTCGGGAGGGGGGAGGGGAGTGAGGGGGGCAGTGGTGGGGAGGGGAGGGGAGAGGGAAGGATGGGGTGGACCCTCTGGGCCGACTTCCGGGAGATCCCAGGTTAGGGACCTGGACCCCCAGATTGGGACCGCGGACCTGGGCGGCGGGCCCAGAGCTCGGGTCGGCGTTGCGGGTTCCAGCCCCGCTGGTAACCCCGCAGCGGGCGTGGACGCGAGAGCGGGGTGCAGCTCTGGACACTCCCTGCTGGGGCCTGTTCCAGACCGTGTGACTCGTCTGTGCTCTGGGCGAGTGTCTGACAGGTGACAGGTCGGACTTGCTCGGGAGGGAACTGGGAGCCGGCCCGAAGGTGAGCTAGGACGGGGGCGGGGAGGGGCTTGGGCGGAAAGGGGGTTGGGGGTGCTGGGGTGCTGGGGGTGGGAAAACGTTGGGGAAAACCTGGCCCAAACGAGACTTATGTAAATCAAACGTGATTTTCCTCTTGACTCACAGGATCCTTTCGATCCTTCACCTCGAGCGCTCACCTGCAGCTGGCAGAGGCTGCTAAAGGCTAGTTTTTCTTCCCCTTTTACGTGCCCCGTGCGGCTGGGGGCGGGGCGGAGGTGGGGGTGCGCTTTCAGCCATCCAGGGTTCAAGGAGGCCTGTTCAGGGAACCTAAGGGAATCTTTCTGAAAAGTTAAAGTGATGCGAAAACAGTCTCCCCGCACAATTTCTGTTTTGATAACTGTAGTTTCTTTTCTTAGTTTCATTTTCGAAAAGCGTGGTGGTGGTAAAGCCGATGAGAAGAGAGCGCATGAGAGGACGTGCTGAGTTCAAATTTTATTTCAAATCTGTTGCAAAGGGAGTTACTTTAGAAAGGTCCAATGGAAAGACCCTCTCTGGGTAGAAACATTTACTATGAAAAAAAAAAAAAAAAAAAGAAGAAGATAATCATTTGCAAATTGGATTCTAAAAATCCAGGTAAGTATCCTTAGCTTGTTTGCCAGATGGAAGGCTGGTTGTGTGCATAGATCTGACTTCCAGAGAAGGTCTTCATCTCAATAAAATTTACTTAAAACTACTCAAGGGTGTTTTTGTAAAAAAAAAATAAAAAAAAAAAAAAAAAAAATCAGAAATGCTAATCACTGAAGGGTCAGGCAAAAAATTTAGGCCCCAGATGAGGCCCCAGAAGAGGCGTGGGGCGGGCAGGTGGCACCGTGAGGTCCCAATCCAGGCAGGTCCCAGCCCTCCGGTCTCTTCTGTAAAAGGCACCTGGAGGATGTGGACGACGACCAGGGCAGTGCAGGGTGGAGTGGACGCTGGGGAAAACTACCTCGGGAAGCACTTGGGCAGTTTCTGCAAAGCTGCAGATGGCGCACTCTGTCACCCCGCAACTGTTGCCCTCAGCACGCACCCAGGGGAACGGAGTGCATGGGTCCATGAAGAGACATGGGCAGCACCATCACCAACACTCCCGGGCACCCTCACCTGCGTCCTCACCAGCCACGCTGCACAGCACACCAGCTGCTGCAGGCCTCCCCTCCCAACCCCCACCGGCCCTCCTGGAGGAGCAGTAGACTGGAAGGGCCAGAGAGGGGGCGGTCCTGTCAGTATCTGGACATCTGTATGCAGAAGCCTCAGGCCTGGAGCTGCCACCTGGTCGAGCTCACACTCCACTTTGTTTCTGCAGCTTTCTTGCTGGTCATAAGGGCTTCTTTTCTTCCGGGGGGAGCCCCTCCAGCCCACCAGACACCCCCCACCCTCTCCTGCCCCCCCCCCCCCCCCACACACACACACCTGTTTGCAAGGCCCACCACACCGCAGTTCCTGCCTCAGGCCTGGTTTCCTAGGAGCATTGTGAGGCCCAGGCAGAGGGGTTGGACTTGGGTGGCCCCGAGGGAAGAACTGGAGTAGTGAGGTGGAGCCTTCCCTCAGATAGCCCTGCCTGTGGGTGGGTAGGTGGCTGCAGGAGGTGGAGAGCCAACAATCCCTGGGCGTTAAGTCCTTTCCAGAGCTTCTGCGGAGAAAACCCAGCCACTGACAGCACCTACAGGATTCACACCTGGGACTACTGTCCGTCACACCTCCATGAGAGCTTGCAAACTTGTGAGGGCATTTCTGGTTGTCACAATGACATGGGGTGCTTCTAATGTTTTGTGCCCGCTAGAGTTTGGGGACCAGGATACTAAACTCATGCAGTGGGTTGGGAGTAGGTCCCGTCAAGGAAGAATTAATCCTGCCCAAATACCAATAGTGACCCACTGGGAAGCATTGGGAAGGTTGAACTGGATGACTTTTCTTTTTTTTAAATCCTCACCCAAGAATATTTTTCCATTGATTTTAGAGAGAGTGGAAGAGAGCGGGAAAGACAGAGAGAAACATCGATGGGAGAGAAATACATCAATTGGTTGCCTCCAGAACATGCCCCAACCAGGGCCCGGGCTGGAGAGGATCCTGCAACTGAAGTCCGTGCCCTTGGCCGGAATCGAACCTAAGATCCTTCTGTCCGCAGGCCGATGCTCTGTCCACTGAACCGAACTGGTCGGTGGGGCCTTTTTTTTTTTTTAAATTGATTTTAGAGAGAGAGGAAGGGAGAGGGAGTGAGAGAGAGAGAAACATCAATTGGTTGCTCCTGCATGCACCAGGACCGGATACCAAACCCACAACCAGGGCATGTGCCCTGACCAGGAATTGAACAGGCAGTCTTTTGGTGCATGGGGTGACACTCAACCAACTGAGCCACACTGGCCAGAGCTGAACTGGATGACTTTTAAGGGACTTTTCAGTTGAAAGTGATTGTCATTTTTTAAAAAATATATTTTTATTGATTTTTTACAGAGAGGAAGGGAGAGGGATAGAGAGTCAGAAACATCGATGAGAGAGAAGCATCGATCAGCTGCCTCCTGCACATCCCCCACTGGGGATGTGCCTGCAACCAAGGTGCATGCCCCTGACCGGAATCGAACCTGGGACTCTTCAGTCCCCAGGCCGACGCTCTATCCAGTGAGCCAAACCGGCTAGGGCGAAAGTGATTGTCACTTTAACATTCATTGTAGGTGATATAGGGACTACTGGCAAAGTAACCCCCAAAAAGGAGGGTTCAAGGTCTAGGCACATATGGTCTAGGGCTAGGCACACGATACGTATGTATTTGCCTGTCTAGGTGCCATGGGTGTGTTCATACACATACAGGCACACATATATACCTCGTTGCAAACAATCCTCTGGGAGAACTTTGACCAGCTCAGAGATGGATGTAGTTAGCTGGGCACGGAGACGGGGGAGAGAGGAGTAGAGAAGGGAGGAGCGGGCAGGGAGTCCTGGGGACAGGTGAGTGGAGAGGTTGGGCTGCCTTTGGGACCCAGAGGGTACAGTGGCCCCGGTTCCTTTCCTGGGAACTGGTCTCTTCCTGGCCAGCTGGAATTGAGCCTCTCCCTGGGGCTCTGCCCACCAGCAAAGGTAGTTGGAGCCAAGAAAATGCCATTTGATTTGAGTGATGGAGTCAGCTGGTAGCTGGTGGGCATTGTTCCCTGGGTTGATTTAGACACGTGTCCATCCACTGCCTCCTACAAGCTCCTGTGCTCTGGGGCCAAGGGCACATGCAGGCTGGGAGGTGAAGGGCCCTTCCACTGGTTTTCAGCAGCCCCTCCTGAACCCCTGGCTCTGCCTCTTGTGCTCCTCCCCCACCTTGCCCACCTCCTGCTGACAGTCTGCCCCCAGCCCCCTGGCTTCCTCCCTCCCAACCGAGGTTTGGGATATATCTCACGGACCTTCAGGTGGCCCAGTCCAGCCCCCAGTAGCTGGTTTCTAGGTTTGTCTTGGGCCATATGTGGACCTAGACTGGATGAAATTCCCATGTCTGGGAGGACAGGGGCAGGAAAGGGGTTTGGAAGAGCTGAGGCAGAGAGAAACCATTTGTAATGAATAGCTTGTCACAAATGTGGGCATATTGGCATATGGGTACTTTTTTAAAGCATCATATTTAAATTTTATTATTTTTTATTGATTGATTGATTGATTTTAGAGAGAGGAAGGGAGAGAGAGAAACATCGATTTGTTGTTCCACTTTTCCATGCATTCATTGGTTTATTCTTCTACTATGTGCCCTGACGGGGGATTGAACTCACAACCCTGGCGTGACGACGCTGTAACCAACAGCTACCAGGCCAGGGCCATAAGGATCACATTTTATATATATATATATATATATATATATATATATATATATATATATATATATATATATATGATTGGTTTTTTACAGAGAGGAAGGGAGAGGGATAGAGAGTTAGAAACATCGATGAGAGAGAAACATCAATCAGCTGCCTTCTGCACGCCCCCCACTGGGGATGCGCCCACAACCAAGGTACATGCCCTTGACCGGAATCGAACCGGGACCCTTCAGTCCGCAGGCCGACGCTCTATCCACTGAGCCAAACTGGTTCAGCAAGGATCACATTTTTAAAAATATCACCACTTAGAGGTCCATGTTATGGTGCAACCTCAAGAACAGCCTCAAAACACACAGGTGTGTGCATGCACTATAGGTGCACACAGAGACTCACAGGTGTGCTAGTTGTCTCCAGCCATTCACTGGGCAAGCTCTCTCTTTTGGCCTGTTTTCCCAACTCTGACAGGCTGTATCTCCGGACCCCTACTGAAGGGCAGAGACTGCCAAACCTTATGGAAGAGGAGGAGCAGGAGAGGCATGAAGTGTCTGTACCCCATTGGGAAGGCATGGCCTCCCGAAGCCATTCCCACCTCCAATTGGCAGACTTCTCCAGGGGGGAGTAGGCAGGCACCTCTGATTAGCCTGAGCCACGGTAATTGCCAATGCACCAACTTGGCCAGATTGCCTGTCAGATTGAATTTGGAAAAGAGTCCAGATTCATGCTGTTTACCAAAGAAACACCTAAAATAAGGATATGGAAGTTTGAAAGTAAATGGATAGAAAACATTAACCCAAGAAAGCTGGTATATCTATACAAATAGCAAACAAAATATTATTTAAGGCCAAAAGTATTTATGAGGGAAAATAAGAGAGTCTACATCATGATTATAGGAACAACGTGCTAAGATAAAACAATTCCAAGGGCCTGGTTGGCATGGCTCAGTGGTTGAGCATCAACCTATGAACTAGGAGGTCACAGTTAGATTCCCCGTTGGGGCACATGTCTGGGTTGCAGGCTTGATCCCTAGTGTGGAGCATACAGGAGGCAGCCAATTAATCATTCTCTCATCATTGATGTTTCTATCTCTCTCTCCTTCTCCCTTCCTCTCTGAAATCAATATATATATATATATATATAATTCTCAGAACTCTAATCATATTCTTTTTTTTTAAAATATATTTTATTGATTTTTTACAGAGAGGAAGGGAGAGAGATAGAGAGTTAGAAACATCGATGAGAGAGAAACATCGATCAGCTGCCTCCTGCACACCCCCCACTGGGGATGTGCCCACAACCCAGGTACATGCCCTTGACCGGAATCGAACCTGGGACCCGTCAGTCCGCAGGCCGACGCTCTATCCACTGAGCCAAACTGGTTTCGGCTCTAATCATATTCTTAAAACATAAAGCAAATATCAAGAAAGTAAAAAGACAACCCATGGGAGAAAATGTTTGCAAATCATGTAGCTGATGAGGAATTTGTATTTAGAATATATAAAGAACTCTTGTAACTCAACACTAAAAAGGCAAATGACCCAATTCAAAAATAGGCCAGGGATTTGCATAGACAGTTCTTTGAAGAAGATATACAAATGGCCAATTACCACATGAAAAGATGTTCAACATCATCGATCATGAAGAAAATGCCAATCAAGCCACAATGAGATACCACTTCACACCCACTAGGATGGATAGAATCAAAGACACAGCAAATGTTTGCAAAGGATATGGAGAGATTGAAGCCTTCACACATTGCTGGTGGGGAAGC